TACCAGGGTCCCCTATTTTCTGAAACTCCCCATATAACAACGGAAGAGGACTGCTTCCAGCGTCTTATATTTAGCCTCCCTCTAAGCACCTGAGCCCACGGTAAACCCTATAACGTGCATATGGTGAGCAAAGTGAAGTGGCGAGTTAATGTAGGAACCTGATTAAGAAACCCTGGGTCATTATTAAGGCTCTTTATATGAATCCTGTTATTTTAGGGTTATGGGGCCCGGGTTTCTTAATCAGATTCCTACATTACCTTCTTCCAAGCTACGAATCGATGCCGACTTGATTGGGTGTCGGGTTGAGGTAAACCCTAAGCCCTTACACCGTACCTGGACCCCATAAGTATGTAGATTCTAGCTCTTTATAGGGTTTGGGCCATTATTGTACCTACTTTTGGGGTTTATGTAAGCCCGAAACCGTGTTTCGGGTGGTCACCTGTAGCCCCAAACCCTACAATTGTATAGCTCATGGCTTTAGCTTGAATTATGGGTACAGCCCGTAAAACACCAGGTTTTTGGATCACCAGATACTGTAGGGGCTTAAACAACTACCAATGCCTTTTTGGGAGTTCCTTTCTATAAGTATGGTGTAAGGGGCCCCAAAACCGTATTCTAATTATTGCGGCCCCTATCTTATGTTGTAAGCACTCCTAAGTCTCAAGCCCCAAACCCTCCGCCCTCCAGCCCCCTGAGTCTACTACTGGTAGAGAGGCTTGAAATCAATACTTAGTAAGCAAGGCACCCTATAAGTGCCTATAGTCAGTCCCGAAAGATGTATAGATTGTTGTACACCCAACAGCCCTACTCTGGCGATCAACTAAAAGTTGGTCAGAGGCCTAAATTGGCCTAGGTACTGACCTATTCTGGTCGGGCCATTAGCCCGGCGCCGGTTGGCACAGGTGCAGCGGGTGAGAGAGAGAGAGAGAGAGAGAGAGAGCGAGAGAAGCTTCATGTAGGGCTTAGGGTTTGGAGAGGCGGGCAGGGGCCAGAGTGAATATAGGGTTAAGGTTCTTAAGGACGGAATGCTTTCACCACCCTTTTAAACCAAAAGCGTTTGTCGGGTTCTGGTCCGACGAGCCTTCTTTAGGCTTTTGGGCTGAGCTATAAGTGGACGTCCCTGTTGGCCACGGCTGGAAGTCAAGAGTATTCCGTGCTAAATCACATAGCAACGAGCGAACAGGGTTTTGGGGCACGGGTGTGCAGACGTTGAGATAAAGAATCCTAAACCCTAAACCCTAAACCCTAAACCCTAAATCCTAAACCCTAAATCCTAAACCCTAAACCCTAAACCCTAAACCCTGTAGAAGCCACTTGCAACTTCGCCTGCAGCTCTGTTCGTAGCAGTGCCGCTTTTGCCCAGTGGGAAGGCCCCCTAAACCCTAAACCCTACCTTAACCTACCAAAACCTACTTGTTTTGGTAGGGTCCCTATAAATTACATATGAGGGTTTATAATGAACCTACAAAAAAGTGGGGTTTGGTAGTTTAAGGTAAGCCCTAAACCCTAAACCCTAAACCCCGCTTTTGCCCAGTGGGGAGGCCCCCTAAACCCTAAACCGTTCTTGTCCAGTGTGGGAAGGCAAAGCAAGGCAGCCCGCGACACCACCGCCTTTGGTCTGATGCCGAGGAGGGTCCCAGAGAACCCAATACCCCTCAATCAAGGGATATACCTTAAGCCATAATGTTCAGGCCCCTATAATATAAGGTATATTCCTTAATTAAGGAATATACCTTAAACCATAATATTAAGGCCCCTATAATTTAAGGTATATTCCTTAATTAAAGTGCATTGGGTTTTCTGGGGTGTGGTTTCAGCAAGGTCCCCTTAACTAATAGAAATCCCTGGTATAAGTGAGCCCTCAGTAAGGGAGGAGGGTTTTTTTGGGTTTTGCTGCCATCTGTCATTATGCACATCTCGCCGGCATCTCATTTGCGCTGTGCTGGAGTCTTGTCGCGAGAGATTGAGACCACAACTGCGAAGCTGTCTAGACCGTGGGGAGTAGCGGACCATTCCCATCTACTGTTTGACGTTTGAAGCCAAGACCCCCAAAACCCATAGAGAACAGTGCTAGCGATTCATAAACCATTAGTGCAGGCGAGGCTCAGCGCTAGAGAAGTTGTTCGTTTTTTAAAGGCGAGGTTCGTTCGATGCGTGTTTTCTGTTCTCCTTCTGCGTTGGAGCAGACTCTTTCAGATCTCTCGAAGCAAAAACCAAGACACCTTATGCCACGGTACTGTGGCTGTCTTGTTTGTCATTTGTTCACTGCAGTCTTTGTTGCGGTGCAGCTTTCCCAAATTTTCGTTGACCTAAGTCCGACGTTGGCGCTGTCAAACACTGTAGAGACCCAGTGCCGTAGTGGACCCTAAAAGGCAGAAACCCGCTACTAGACCCTGCAAATCATACCTCACAGTCATAAGACACTTAGAAACCTTACCGTGAGAAATGGGTCCTCCCTTGCCAAAGCTCTACAGGCCCCGTAGCCCAAAGAACACCGACAAATGATTTACACTCTTGCCCCCCATACCCGAGAGCAAACAGGGGAGCACGATAAATTTATACGCCCCAGACCCTCTGTCGTAAAACGTTTGGGAAACCACGTTGTCGAACATGTAACGGCTTGAGCGAACATGACATGCCTTTAAGCAATAAACCAGCAACATCACCTAAACCCTAAACCGTAAGCCCTAAACCCTACACCCTATTCAGCCTAGACCTGACTATAACGGCTCGTTCGAGAAAAGCCTAAACCCTAACCCGAAAGCCCTAAAACCCTAAAGCTCTAAACCCTAATCTCATGCCTGCCTTTGTGCGAGTGTGTGAGTCGAAGCCCTAATCCCTTAACCCCAAAACCCTAAACCCAAAACCCAAATTTCCTAAGGCCCTAAACCCTAAAACCCTTAAACCCAAAACCCAAATTTCCTAAGCCCTAAGCCCTAAACCCTAAAATCCTAAACCCTAAACCCTAAAACCCAAAACCAAAATTTCCTAAACCCTAAAGCCCTAAACTCTAAAACCCTAAACCCTTACCCTTGCTCAGGTGCTCTCGGGTTCGGCATTCCGCTCTCCTTCCGAAGGCCGCATTGGTTGGGGCCCTACGTGCGCAGCGTTGTTTAGGGGCTTATTGGATGTTGGCGTTTAAGGTTTAGGGTTTAGGGCTTAGGGCTTGTAGGGTTTTCGGATTTTAAGGTTTTGGGCTTGTAGGGTTTTGGGCTTAAAGGGTTTTCGGGTTTTAAGTTTTAGGGCTTGTAGGGTTTTGGGGTATAAGGGGGGTTCGGGTTTAGGGTTTCGGGTTTAGGGCCCTGCGGGCGCAGCAAGGAGCTGATTTCCTAAGGCCCTGAGGGGTCCATGTACCGATGTAGTATTACTTTGGACCTACAGTAGACCTACATTCAAATGGGTGCAGGTATGGCACTTAGCCATATACATATATATTGCATAAGATACTATATATATATATACCTTGGACCTGAGTTAAGGTACTTGTATATTGAATGGTGTACTTAGGACCTAAATTGCAGTACCTATTTAGGGACCAGTACTGTATGAGTACATGGATCCTGAGGCTAAGGAGTCGTTTAAGGGTTGCTGTAAGGAATCCAACGAAGGCTTCTATAAAGGCTACCACCCTTAGCTTTGTTTTCCTTGCTGGAAAGCTAGTGCCATACCGGCCATACCCTGCCCCTGATTTGGGGTACCATAACAGTCCCTCAGCCCTAAACCCTAAACAATAACAGATCCGAGCCAGAAAACCAGAGGTTGGGTCATAAAGCCTCAACCCCTAAACCCTAAACCGAAACCCTAAACCCCTTGTGTGGAGCCTTGCCGGCCTGGTGCGAGAGTGAGAGTCGAAAGCGGAACGGGCCCCCCGCCTTGGCCAACCCTAAACCCTAGACCCTAAACCCTAAACCCCAAACCCTAGACCCTAAACCCTAAACCCCCAGGTGCCTTCCGACCTGAGCATGCGAAGTCGCCCATGCAGAGGCTCCACTGGGCAACCGCTTCGGTTCTGCAGCTCCAATGTTTAGGGCTTCAGGGTCTTAGGGTTTAGGGTTTAGGGTTTTAGGGTTAGGGTTTTAGGGTTTAGGGTTTAGGTTTAGGGTTTAGGCTCCAATCAAGCCTGTGTAAAAAGGTTTAGGGTTTTGGGTTTTAGGGTTTAGGGTTTAGGTTTAGGGTTTAGGGTTTTAGGGTTTTGGGGTTTAGGGTTTCGGGGCCAAGGGCGGGGTCAAGGGTTTGGGGTTCAGGGGCATTCCCAGAACACTTGAAACGCATTAACCTGTTTCATATCTAGGATCCCGGATGGCAACCCCCAATATAGCAATTACAATGGGGCCTATAGGTATGGCTCCTAACCCTAAGAGTCCATGTGCCCAAATAGTATATAATCTGGCCCAAAGTATCTAGATAGGGATTACTTTAAGGCCAAAGTGCACACTATACGGGTACATGAACCCTTGGGTTAAGTTATGGGCTAAGGACATGAGGGTTTGCAGTGGGGTCCACCCTAAACCCTAAACCCATGGTGCATGGAGGACACGTACCGTACTGCCTTGAAGATCGAAAGCAGGTTCGGAATTGTTGTTGGTTTAGGGTTTGGGGTCAGGGTCTATGAAGAGGGTTTGAATGTTTGGATACAGCATTCTCGGTGTTCGATAAGATTTTCCACAAAATTTCAGCCGGCTTCCCTATATACCCACAATGCGCAGCCGCGAATATGTTTCCGACGCCCCTATGTCAGCGCCGGAGATCCTCTATACCCAAAGGGTCCTGAGTAGTGCAGCGTAGGGTTTCTATACTAGGAATTACCTGCATGGTTTGGGTAAGTATCCCCCATAGCGGTATGCATGCATGCATGTATGTATGTAAGTTTTATTGCTGGGTCAGCATTCAGGGTGTAGGGTTTCGGCTGTACAGAGGCTGCACAGGTTTTAAGAGTTTAGGCTTTAGGGCTGCAGAATTTAGACACAGTCCCGTATACTTCGAGGTGTCCTTGAGACCAACCCAACCTCCAGGGCAAGCCGATTTAGGGTTTAGGGTTTAGGGTTTTCTGCACTGTCGCTCTTGTTAACCACTGCGCGAAGTTATGTTTCTTTGAAACTCTTATCTTTCAGCCAAGGACCTTGGATGTCACTTACCCAACCCCCCCCCAACCCTAATCCCTAAATTCCAGACTCTGCACCCAAACCTCTTGAACCCTAAACCCTACACACATAGGCAGCTTGAAGTGTCACGCCGACTTGTGCACCTATGGATCCTCGCCTGGCTTGTCCAAGTTGTGAGAGTGTAAACCCTACACACAAAGCCCTGTAAACACTAAACCCTCAGATGACCCCAACAGGCAGCATCCAGATGGATGGCGGTCACCGGCCGCGCTGCCAACTGCTCCTTCGGCGTTTCCCATGTGCCAGAGCCTTGTAATTTCCGGGCGTTCTGTTGGGTTTATGGGGCTTAGGGGTTAGGGCTCGTTTGGTTCAGGGGTTTAGTAGGAATTTAGGGCTTTAGGGTTCTGTTCAGTGCTCTTGTGGTTGAGGGTTTAGGGCTTCAGGCCTTCGTGGATTTGCGGTTATAGAGCTTCAGGGTTCTTGTGATTTGGTTTAGTGTTTCGGGTCTTAGGGTTCCTCTGGTTCAGGATTTGCTAAAATTCCTTGTTTAGGGTTTGGGATAAATTTAGACGGTTGATCTGAGGTTTTCTGTTTATCATGTAACGTAAGGCTTTGCAGAATTTTGTTCTCACAACATTTGGCCGCGAGAATGCGCGGGTACCTTACTCAAGCTTTGGTGGGGCTTTACTGTTCCTGAACCCTGAAACCCTGAAACCCTGAAACCCTGAAACCCTGAAACCCTGAAACCCTGAAACCCTGAAACCCTGAAACCCTCAACCCTCAACCCTCAACCCTCAACCCCGCCCCAACCAAACCAACCAACCAACCAACCAACCAACCAACCAACCAACCAACCAACCAACCAACCAACCAACCAACCAACCAACCACCCAGCCAGCCAGCCAGCCAGCCAGCCAGCCAGCCAGCCA